TCGTCTCGTGGCTGGCAGTTGCCCTGGACCAGGAAGAAGAAAGCGAAAAACAGGGGTAAGACAACCATGGCCGGGCTCTATCGAGGCTAGTAAAACTTCACGATATCGATGGTTAAGCTATCAGATCTCGGGACTGACGGATTGATGGGCAGGTCGGCTTTGCGTTGAGGGGACACCTGAGCTGAGGTTAGACGAAGTGCAGCCCGAATGCAAATGCTTTGGACTCGTGACATGACGACTACCTGGCTAGTTAACGAACTAACGGACATGCATACGTCCATCATCCATCATGCATGCGTCATGCCAACGGCTGAGTCTGTTCCCACGACGCCTTGGGCCGTACTCTTGTCTCCGGCCTTCTCGGAACTCAGGCTCAATAACAATGCCCAGCGAGTCTTGGTCGAGCTAGCTAATAAATGCTAATTTTAACGCCAGCAGGGGGTTGACTTCATATTACCACGTCAACTGCAAAAGAGTCTCTCTCTCGATGAAAACCTTTCAATAACACCCGTAGCCCCTTTGAATTCTGTTATTAATAGTCGCTCATGATACCCAAAGTAGCTTTTGGGAAGTGCTGGGTAATCAAGTATTCAATTGTAGATGGAGAGATACTAGCAAACTTAGCAAAGAAGCTTCCCAGAGCCTCGACCTCCTATGCCCATTTGAATAGATAAAGCCAGAATAGTGGTGGAAAAGATGTATGAATGAGAAACAGCAAGGATATACCTCCACCAGGTTATGTCTTTCTATCGAATTGAAAACAATCTTGCCCCTTCATATAGTGATACAGTCTCCCTTCTGGAGATTATAAAATAAAAGGAATAATGGAAAAAAAAAAAAAGGACAGAGCGCATTAAACGGATATGGAAAAGGGACATGAAGTAAAGGAAAGGAAACACAAACATTGGAATCCGAACTCTTTTTTTTGTTCCACCCATCAAACAAATTGTGAAAATGCTCAACAAATCAATTCCTAGCCACCCAGTAATAGCAGCGCAAAACAAGATAATGGCAATGATCATCACAAATTAAGATGGAAAATGTAAGGTGAACAAAAGGTAAAATCAGATAAAACTGGTAAAGATAAAGAGAAATGGGTATATGCGAGGCAATGGCTTGGGAAACAAAGGAAAAATAGAACATGAAGCTAGCGCTTGCATTGCAACTCTTCTCGCTCAACAAAAAGAGAATGTCAGCGCTGCCAAAGGTACGGACATCGTGAAGGTCATGCATAAGTGGGATTTTTTCTTTCTTTTTTTCTTTTTGGTGGGAAGCGTAGTTAGAAAGCGCTCTGCTCTTATGGTCCGGAGATGGCAGTAGGTTATGTCTTGGAGTTGGGGGTGGAGGATTCCCTGGAAGACTCTGACGGAGACCTAGTCTTATCTAGGCTCAATTCTGATTCCTCATATTGTAGACCAGCCTCGCAGTCATCTACATCCATTTTTGCCAATTTTTCGACGTCTTTTTGCTGAACTGGCTTGGCTTTGTCTCCTTCTATCCAGAAGCTCTCAATAGCACCGATTGCGCAGACCAGGCCACAAGCCCACCACGATAGAATGGAGAGCCTGTGTTCCAGCCCTCGCGAATGCAGAAATCCAGTCACAGTTGGACCAAGTGCTCTGCTTAGACTAGCAGTGGAAGCTGCTACACCATTAATGGACCCGAGCACGGTGGTCGATGGCGCAGAGTTCGCAAGAAGTATGGCGTTTGACGGGAAGGCGATAACGTGGAGAGTAATCTTGCAAATTAGTGCGAGGTATGCTGCGGGCAATCTTAACGCTTCGGGGAGGAGGACAAGATATGGTACAGCGAGATATAGAACAGGCCAAACACTTATGACAAATCGGTAGGTATTCAGGGTCCCAAATGATCGGACAACGAATGGGAAGAGCACGAGCTGTGCTATCATAGAGTAGATACCCTGTACAGCAAGCATGAATCCCACGGTTTTAGTTGAAAGAGATAAGCCTCCAAGGAACTTGAATGGGAGTTCGACTGGTACATTGGAAGCGGGGGTGCTCAAAAAGACAGGCATGAGCTGATCAAAACTCACGCTGTGGCTATTAGGGAGTTAGTAAGAGCATATCCTGGATTCCAAACAGCTGAAGAGCACGACTTACTAGGCGAGAAGCCCATATCCTAAAATTATATATTTCACTTTTGGAGTGAATGCCTTGATAAATCCTTTACTCTTCTTCGTTTCAACTGACAAAACTATTGGTTGCTTTGCGGCCGGGGACTCTTGGGTATCAGGACCTTCAAGGCAGTCATAGCCTGGCGGGGGGTCATCATGGTATAGGAATGGTTTAGCGTCTTCATCCCCAGTGCAGCTCGTATTCTTCATACCCCTTGCCACATCCTCACCCCTGAAGAGTTTCGCCACGAGGTACTTTCCGAGTTCACGGCCCCGGTCTCGTTGGTGTCGCTTTTCTGCATGGGTCTCCTCTAAGAAAAGTATACCAATGGTAATACCAGCAAGAAGAACCGTAACGCAAACCAAGTTGGGGAGTAAGAAGAGGTATTGCTTGAAGATGCTATCTTCCGGGAAAAGAGATGGATAGCTGTCACATGGTTTAGCCAAGGCGCCGCCAATCGCGGGACCAATGATCGATCCGAGACACCAAACGAATGGCATAATGGAATAGGCCCGCGGTTGATGTTCCTTATTGGTGACGAGCTCCGCGACTGTAGTCTGAAGGACGCCGATGTTTCCGTTGAGTAAGCCGCCGAGAGCTCGAGCCATCAAGGCCATCGGAAGGCTGGAAGCAAACCCAAATACCATCATACTAATGGCTGTGCCAACTAGCCCCATAATAAGGACTGGTTTCCGGCCGATAGCATCGCTCACGCGGCCCCATAGCATACCGGTGGAAAATTCGGCCAAAGTAAAGGCGGAGGTAACAATTCCAGCATAGAAGGCAATCTTTCGATCATCGGTGGTGACATTAAAACTGCCAACCATGTAATAAACATAAGGGAATATTGACATAAATGCAATAGGTTCGCATATCCGACAAAGACCTGGAGTGAAATGTCAGCGTGACTCTCTTATGACGTAACCTAAGGAGCGAGCAATGGGGGAGTCCATGAAGAGATGTGCCGACTTTCTGACGTACCTAGAACGAAGAGCTGCTGGGTAGGAAATGGAGGCTTGCCATCATCGGCTCTAGCAAAAAGCCTGCAAATGATCGGGAGATTTCGAAATCGTACCATGGCGCAGGAGGGTTACTCGATGCGATACAAGATTAAAAGGAGGAGGGGGTAGGGGAGGGCAGCTCTTGATTCTCCCTCGTTGTGTATCAGCCCAGGAGGAAACCGTTAAAACAGGTGTCGTCTGTAATGCCGATAGATTGTATGCATCCAGGGGTGCCTTGAAAGCGAGCGAAGTAGCTATAGATATGAGATTTTTTGACAGCCCATGCCACAGCCTAACACAGAAGGTCCGTGAAGGTCTAGTTCTGTGAAAGAAGGGAAGAAAGGGAAGATGCAAAGTGGAAGAATGATGATTGACAGTTGCAGGCAGGAAGGATTTGTCAACCACTTTTATTTCGGCGGATTTAAGGCTGTTTTTCACCTCTGCCCAGAAGGGCCGCGCTTTCTTAACAAGCAGTGGCAAATAAAAAGAAAGCAAACGCAAAAAAAAGGTAGATTCAACTGGAATCAGAGCAATCAATCCCGGTGATCGTGAGGAAGACAGGGTGCCGGGATTGAAGAAGTAAACGATAGTTAGAGTTGGAGGCGGGTATTTTAGGTCAGGAGACAAGGTAGTTGACAATGCACATGGCACGGTCTCCTTTTAAAGCTTTCCAGAGAATCGGGACAGGGCCACACCGGCCGCTTATCAAAGCAGTACTTAGTCCAATGATTGTCACCGGAAGTGGCAGAGTCGGAGAAGGGAGTCGATCCTTCAGACGGGGACTCAGGTGAGGCGTTGAATCGGGAAAAGTCTGGGTTGGGCGTAAGGGAAAGAGAGAGAAGGAGAGGAAGAAGACAAGGGGCTAGAGAGAGAGAAAATTAATTCAAGACGGAGCAGAAAGT